GCACAGTGGCTCAGCTTCAATCAGGAGAGACTGCCTACAAGAGCAAACTAAGAGAAGAACCAAAATGTGTCAAACATTCAAGAATGACTCTTAACATTTATTGCAACACATGCGAGCAGTTAATATGCGCACAATGTATTGCTCAGGAACATCGACAACATTCTCATGCTGACATATCTGAAGCTTTTGATAAATGCAAACAACAAATTGCAGAACTGTTGGAAAAGGTTGGAAAGAAGAAAAAAGAACTGCACAATACCAAGAAAGACACAGCTGAGTCCCGCAAGAAACTAGACACCATGTTTGAAGCCACTAACAAGAAGATCTCCCAAAAGGCTGACAAGGAGGTTGCTAGGATCAGGGAGATGGAGCAGAAACTGAAGCAAGAGGCCCAAGGGATCTACCAAGACAGAGTCAAGACACTGCAGACTGCTGAAGATACCAACAATGCACAGCTGACAGCTGCAGAGCAAATACTGGATGAGGCAAACCTGCTTCTGGCTCAAGAAATCAAGACTGCGATTTTACATCTCAAGCAAAAATTCCTGGACTCCATCTATGCCATCAGAGAACTGACTAAACAACAGCCGTGTGTAGTGCCTGAAAAGCTGTGCTTCATGGACTTTCAGGAATATGATGAAACGGAGAAGTCACTTGGAAGGCTGATTCTAAGAGAAAAATCAATATGTACATTGAGATTTGAGAAAGAAAGAGCACTGCATCTGAATTATGCAGTGGAATCCGTCACAGCTTTTGCCAACGAAGAAATAGTTACAGTTAAAAAAGACTTAAAACATCTAGTAACTTATATTTCAGAGAGCAACCCCCAATCCCGCAATTGGGTAAATAATCCAGATATAACAGATCCATGCCAGCTTGTGGTGAACAGACTAAACCAACTTGTTATACTAGATGGTCCTGCAGTCAAAACCTTCAACAGAGTATCCATGGGCCGGTATCAACTCCTCCATCAGTTCCAGCCAGGAACTAATTCACACAGCCAACCCACCTGCCTGGCAGTGGATGACGACAATCTGATAGCTGTGGGCTACAAGGCCAAGGGAGAGATCAGCCTCCACAACCCAGATGGAACCCTCATCAGGAGACTACCAGCACCAATGATTGAAGATCACCTGGCCATCAGTAGGAAGCAGTTAATGTACACCAACTACGACATGTGTACGCTGGTATCCAAAAATTACTCCGGTGACACTGAGTACGTAAAAGATGTAGGCAGCCCAAGGAGTGTGTGCTGTGACAGTCAAGGCAACATCTACGTTGCCAGCCATCTACCCTATTCGGCAGGTAAGGCAAACATTAAAGCTTTCAGTCATGACGGTAAATTCCTCGGATGTGCAATCCAGGAATGCACGTATCCATACAGCATGACCATCACACCCAAAGGTGATCTAGTGCTAGGTGGATGGGATTTGTTGGAGATCTATCATCATGTGTGACTGCCGGCAACGCTGCTGAACATTGGAATGACAGTAACATGGGATCATCTCGATGTTTAAAATGCCAGTTACTGATTCCTGACATATTTCTAAGGACTGCAGTTTGTTGTTTAATCAAACTACACAACCCCCACAAGTGCCTCGAAAACAACTGAGTACAATGAGGAAATTTGTAAACTCATATGCTTGTCCACTTAAACATCTAAATGAGCAAAATTTCTAATACATGTAAACATGTTGAAATTGTGCTGTACACTAACCGGTAATGCAGATTTCAAGCGGACTGTGACACTTGGGAATTTGTTTCGTGTAAATCCTGATCGTGTTGGTTCACTGACACGAGAACCACCTAACAGACACAGCAAACCAGCCTTGGGACTCCCTATCCAGATCGACATATAAAAACAAACAGGCCCAGAGAGTTGGAAGAATGGAAGTCGACAAGTGTTTTCAATTTTCAAGTACATGTAAATGTATTTTACCATGAGCTCAGAATATGTCCATGTTTAGGTACAGTATGGACTGTTTTATTTGGTATTGGAAACATCTTTTCACACTTTTCTCTTCCAGGGAGTTTCATTTGACAGAAATTGCAAAGTTTTGCTGAAGAGGGAGAAATTTTTGTAGGTTTCCCAGCAAGAGAGAAAAAAATTTAATACCTTGTGAAATACAAGAGTGTGAATGTCCAAATGATCTCTTTCCACATATTTTCCCATCCCAATGCACAGTTTTTTATTTTCACTTGCAATTTCTTGTACGGGTGCATTTAAATAGCTTACAGGGGACAAACCAGACCTTACTGTCATTCAAAAACCACTTCGGAAGGGGGCCCACGGCGACTAGGAGACGTGACAAAAAATACAGAAAGTGCCACTAAATATTACGACACTTATACACTGGCTAAAACTATTAATAGTCAGAAAATCACCCAAATTGTATGGTCAGTGTTTGCTGGCTTTTTGCGTTAATGGTACAATCTGACCCAGAAACTGCTGCGGGCTAGTTAAGTGTATTTTTTCACTTGCCCAGAAGGCTACTAGAGCACAACCTACCTGATGGAAACCATCATTTGTCTTTCTCGTAAAGATGAATGAAACAGAGTTTACAGATGTTGTCAATGTTTTTGTATGTGCTATTATGAAATTGTAGCAATTTTGAATCTTCCAGTTTTAAGTTTTTTAAACTGGCAGCATGGTTCCACAGTAGCAGTTGAAAGAAATAAAGTTGAAAAAAGCCAGTGAAAGTTAGTTTGGCCAACAAATACCCACTCTTATGAAAATTCCACTGGGCTTGTTCCTGGCAGGCTAGTTACTAAAACAAAGTTGTAAGTCATAATCTGACATGCATTCTTTATCACAAAATGCCAGATATGTGCAAGGATGACAGGAGGCATAGCTGTGTAAGCCAGGCTGTATCAGGTTCATCGACAATGGCAAACTGGGGTGGCACTTTATGGACTAATCGGGGGAAGGTGAAGCAAAAGAACTGCAGGAGCTTCCATAGCAACAACAACTGCATCAGACGCAATGAGTAGGGATGCCCATGTTGGAATTCAAGGACTGCCTTGCA